CTGAGTATGATTTGCTCTGCTCAGAGAATAGATCCACATGGGGTATAGGTTTCGCTGCCCAGAGCCCAATCCTGCTGAGGGTGTTTAAACCGGCGAACAAAATGTCCCGCCGATGGATAGAAACCAAAATAGACCAACGTCTAGGGAAAAAGGCGTACAGTTTAGTAAATCATCCAGGTAAATTCGACCTGAAGGATTTGAAACCATTGCCGAACTCGACATACGACGTTCCCAGCTAGTCCCGGAGTCCATTCTGGTTTCCAAAGTTATCTTCCCATTGTCTATCTCTGAGAAAGGAGGAGGATGAGTGGTCAGCCGATCGCACCGTGCCAGCACGCACAAACATGCGCACAGGTTGATCGATTCGTCTCCCTAAGCTATGGGGCTACATTCATTATCTGCTCTCATACCTAAGTGTTGTGTTGCACCAGCGCATTCAACTATAGTACTACTAACTTAGTGGGAGCATATCTTGTTACTACCCCCCAAAACTACTCTGGAATATACTTAGTGTTCTATTCCTTGGGTATGACACGTGACCACCTCTCCTCCACAGGCATGATTAGTGATATGTAACGCCATCTCCTTTGAACGTTCCGCCTTTTCTTCACACGTGTACACGTCAACCATCTCCCGGGACTTCCACCTGCAGTTGGTTTGTAACTGCTTTTCGCTTATTGCACTGCTCTTTAATTGAAAGGTCGCACTTGATCTCCTGCATGAATGCCTCGTAAATTTGAGTAAACTCTTGATCTCGGTGGGTTCTATATCATCTGGCATGAATTTTGCGAGGCCTTGCATCCTTCTAGAAAACCCCTTCCTTACCAAACCGAAGACACGCAACATTGAATGTTGGGAAGCTGCCAATTCTGCCAAACGATGTACTACACACCAGACGCTGTTCTTCCGACAAACGTTAGCATCAGTGGCACAATAGGCGGATACCTCCTCTGGCCGTCCGGGTCTGGTCTGACACCTCTATACGTGAGCCGGTCGAACGTACACTACGTATACTACGAGTATACGCAACGTATACTAGTCATCTTCAATAATTTCTCCTCAGGTACTGAAATCTTGTGGACATTAGAATTCATATCGATTCGATATTCCAATACCCGCGCATTAGTGGAGAGTGCATGAACTTTGGAGAACTCTATCGGGACTTCAACATCAGATAGACCAGTAGACTGAAGATCAAGGTAAGTGACGGTTGGTTAGTTACAGCGCAGACATCATCAACATATCATAGCGCTCGAGATGGAAAATAGACCTTCTCGTTGAACCCTTGGAGAGCAACAGCAGCCAATCTACGCGTCACTCGAAACAAACAGCCCGCCCATCGACACCACCAGTATGGAGAGCTTACCGTCCCGAATGGTAACACCGAGTGTTGTAGATATCTTGGCTGTGTAGTTTCACCGAGATATAAAGGAGTCATGAACGATAAATGGCATTGTTGATCGCGGCGCACAGGGATAAGTCGAAACGCTTGTTGTACGTCCCACTCCAGAACACACAAATTGGGTAGCAGTCCAAGGCCAGATACCACTGAACTTGAGGAAGTAGCTTCAGTAAGAGCAGCCATAACATCCACCAGTCGTGGTAATGATATAGTGCAATCGATATTCCTCCTCAGTTGGGCATCATAACCCAGGGTGGACCTCACACGATATCGACGACAGAGACCATCAGGCGAGATGTCCGCCGATACAATGTGACCAACATGAACACCTACATCACACTTGTTACGAGGCTTATAACGAATGAGTACCGTGGAACCAGGATCCAAGGGCTTGATATGCTTGGAAGGCTGGCGACCAATTTGTTGAGCGCAGCGGTCTCGAAGAGCTTGCCAATGGTGTGCCAAGAATGCCTTACGGATATTTTCTACGGCGACCGGTCTAGAAGCATGTAAGTCGGGTATCGGATCACCGTCCACCGATTTCAGCAATAAGCCAGTTGAGCGAGTATAACCAAAGGCTAACGAGTCCGCAGTAATAAAGGAAGATGACGATCCGGCTTGATGGTCCAAAACATGCTCACAAATAGGCGATGTGTTCATCATCAAGGTAACATGATCGTAAATCTTGCATAAGTCGTAAGCTGTGGCCCTAGCAAGCTTCTGCGGAGTATAGCAAGCTCGAAGCGTCCGTAGGCCAACAGAATGACTTCGCTCCACTGGGGTTTTCCATGGAGCTCTAGCAGCATGATACTCCACTTTCACTGTCCAGGCAGACATCTGCTCTTGGAAGATATTGGAGGTAAAGGCCGTTCCGCAATCAAGGTAGAGAATGCTAATCTGGCCCCACTTGTTCAACATATGACCGCTTAGGCATTCGTTCGTCCAGAGAACATACCTATTCTGCTGCAGGATGAGAGTCAAACAACCGAACCTGTCGTCGTTGCATACGTCTTTGCTGGTCTTTACGACTCTTTGCTTGTTTGGAGCAGACATTTGGCGACGGAACAACAGAAACGCCTAACTCCACTTCCCCGAGAGCCCCCAAAAAAACGCAACTACTAATCAAGTAGGAGACGAATAGCAACCTCAGCACGATAGTTACACGACAAGTTGCACTGCTACTAGCGACTCGTTCGATAAAGGCAGAAACAAATTGGGACAACATACCTGGAGACCTCGTAGAGGTTTCATTACCCAATTAACCTTGCTTTCGCAATTCCGCGAGGTTGGCAATTGAAGTAGTAGTATCCACACCACGCTTGAGTGACAACTTTGACCTCGTTGACAGCGCTTCTCCAGAATGAAACATAAAACGACAATTCTTATATGGACATGATTTTACCGTATACTTACACGTACCTTTCCACTTGCCGTTCCGATCTTTAGTCAGATGGGGGCGAGACATTGCAGAGCTGGACGACCCAGAAGAGTAGGAGTCACTTAGATTGGTCTGTTATACTTGACCTATTAGTTCAGATTCAATATTCGTCGTCAGACAGAGGCAGAAAGCAGCAAAACTCGATAGATCCGTGGATCTATGATGAAGTTCGACTTGCAGACTCCGCATATTAGCAAAGAGACGACGACGATACTCTCTATCAAATTTCATCGCCGTGACGAATGAATATCGCTTGGCAATTGTACAGATTCGATAGACATAAGACAATAATGGAAGAGGATTTGGCGTGACACCATTTTCCATTGCTACAATAGTTATACACCACTGAAATACCAAGGGTAACCATTCCTCAATAGATGATGGTAGTCTTCCCGACGGAAGTTTCATAGTCTGGACTACTATGCCCGAAGTGGTGAGACTCAAACCAGTACCCTGAGCCGACGACTGGCTCTCCGGGTAAACCTTGAATTCTATATGAACATACCTGCCTTTGCTTAGCTGTTCCATTGTATGCGGCGGAGGCAGTAGTTGGGCTGGAGGAACTTGACCCCATACCGTAGTCACCTTGGCGGTCAAATTATTCATTGCAGATTCTCGAGGAAGTGGATCATCAGTCTTCTTCACCGTAATACCCTTCAACGCCGCCCGGATCCGAGCTCTACGAAGTTTGGAAAACAGTCCAAAAGCTTCGTTCAGGGTTTCCGTCCAGAGGTGCTACCACATCGGTCTTCTTAGCATTTGTCTTGCCCACGTCTCCTCTATTCGAACTTTCTGTCACCGGAGGTGGAGAATCAGTTGACGTGGATAGCTCTCTCTCCTTTACAGATTGCAGTGCGTCGTCACAGCGATTTACCACATCTTCAAAGATGACCGGGTCGTCCACTATCGATTTCAGAATGGGTATGGTGGTGATAGTTAAGGCTGTTAATACCTTGACCAATGTAGGAGCCAAGACAATGCAATCTGAAAAGCTCGCCACAGTGATGATACCAGACGGAGCGGACGAAGACATTTGTTGACAGGAATAGATAAAATGAGTTAACCTGATCAAAGAAAGAAATGGTAAACTGTTCCGAAACTAAGATGAGTATATCCAATCGTGCGCCGCACCACCCAAAGGCGGTCGGACCTGACAGAAAGCGGACAATAAAAATTAGAAATAAACATCGATATACAGCTCATTTTCTCGTTTGTTAGAGTCTCGACCGACCTGACTACCTCGGTGGTTCTTAAACCGAACATAGAAGGGACCAGAACAAACCAGAATAAACAGATCAGCTACAAACCGTAGCTTACAACCACCAAGATCACATGAGTGATCCGCAACGACCAACCGACAGACGTCAGAGCCTGCGGTTCGTGATACCCGCAACACAATCGAACTGGCTGAAACACGACTCGACAAGCCAGTTCAACCCCCAACCCTCACGCTACCCCGCTCAACTGGAGGTAGTGCTGGCTGAGGTAGACACAACTCAGGAAAACCCCAGAACAATAGAAAAGTACAGCACATGGGAAACACGACGTTACGAACCTTTCCGCCA